AGAAGAACTGTTCCACCAAGATATAAAAGGAATGGAAAGCAGATATCAAGGGCGCTGGAACGTTAACATGATGGCTAACTACTGTCGGATGAAAAATCTGAAATCAGTTATTAAAACTANCCAGGAACCAGAGGGAGTGGAAGAGGTGGATGGAGCAATAGAAAAAAGAAGGATCAGAAGAAGAAGAAGAATACAAAACAGATCTATAACATTTGTTCATTGGGTGTCTTCGGGGAATTGCTGTGTCTTCACGGTATAATTAGGGGTCAAAAGAAAACCGACATTCCTTCATGGCATAATTGGTGTTTGAAAACAAAACTGACCTATCCTAACATTTCTTCACGCTATAGTTGTCTATATAATAAATCTATAGTTATTTTACGAAAGCAACCAGCCTAAATGTAGGTTAGCAACCTTTCTTTTGTTAAAAAACTGTACAGTAAAACTGATAGAATCCGATTCATACTAGATTTGCTGCCAGTACCTATACTGCTCCCCCCTGCACTCTCTGTCTGCTCAAAAGTCCCCACTGCAAGGTCAAGTTACTGTCTGTAGTCAGTGTCGATGTAACCACTCTGCTGAGCACTCTTTCACTGTTTCTTCGTCAGTTTTAGTTTTGTGTTTTGAAATGGCTTCTACAGGTTGTGTGAACTCTGCTGATTGTTTCTGATACATTTGTGGGATTTATACTGTTAAAAAGCAACAGAAAACCATTAGCTACTTTGTTAAAAAGGTTTACTTTGCCTACTTTGGTATGAAACTGGGGGATGAAGACAAACAATGGGCTCCTCACAAAATGTGTTCTGTGTATGTTGAAGAACTGAGATGCGAATCATTTCGTTTCGCTATATCTGCAAAGGAGAGAACCTGTAAATCACACTGATAACTGTTACTCTTGCTGTACGCAAGGTTTTAATTTGAAAAATAAATAGAAGATTTCGTATCCAAACATTCTTTCAGCAATGTGCTCTGTTCCTCATGGGCCTGATTTACCTGTACCTGGTCCTTCAGCTACATTTGAAAACATTTTAGATGACGTTGATCAGATGTTTCAAAACAGTGATGACGGCGACAATGATGGTATTTACGAGCCCACCTACAATGAGCCAAAACTCTTCAAGCAGTCGGAACTAAATGATTTGGTTAGAGACTTAGGCCTTCCAAAAGATTCAGCCGAGGTTTTAGTGTCGAGATTGAAAGAAAACATCTGTTGGCTCCTGAAATACCCTTCTCTTGATACAGAAGTAGAGAAAAAGAATTTGAGCCTTTTTTCTCTCGAGAGGGTGACCTAGTTTTTTGCACTAATGTTCCTACAATGTTCCTTGGGTGTATCAATATAAAATACGACCACGTAGAACGGAGGATTTTCATTGATTCATCTAAAAGAAGCCTGCAAGCTGTTCTTCTCCACAATGACAACCAATATGCATCTGTACCAGTAGGACTTTCAGTTCATTTGAAAGAATGTTATGAGAACCTCGAATTGGTACTTAACACGCTTAAGTACTCTGATCATAAGCTGGACTGTTTGTGAGGACTGTTTGGGAGGAAACAACACTATGTTAAAAAAGAATGGCCAGCAAGAAAAACTTTGGTTCCTGGAGTTAAGACTGTTGAGAAAAAGAGGCTAGTAGATCCTAAAAAGATTCTACTTCTGCTACTTCACATCAAGTTGGGACTGATGAAACAATTCGTCAAAGCTTTGCCTAAAGGAGGGTCTTTCAGATATCTCTGTGAGCTGTTTCCCGGCCTCTCTGAGGCAAAACTTAAAGGAGGGGTATTTGTTGGCCCTGATATAAGGAAAATTATGATGGATGAAGGCTTCTTGTTGAAAATAGAAGACCAGGAATGGAAAGCATGGAAGTCTTTTACATAAGTGGAACTGGCTTCCTAGGAAATAAAAAAGACCCAAACTACAAGCATGTTGTTGTTAATCTGTTAAATAACTATAAACTGTTACGCTGCAACATGAGTGTTAAAGTTCATTTCCTTCATTCTCATCTGGACTATTTTCCGGAAAATCTCAGAGCAGTAAGTGAACAACAAGAAGAACTGTTCCACCAAGATATAAAAGGAATGGAAAGCAGATATCAAGGGCGCTGGAACGTTAACATGATGGCTAACTACTGTCGGATGAAAAATCTGAAATCAGTTATTAAAACTAAATCAACTTTAAAAAATATTTTCTGTGCAGGCCTGTGTAATAGTAGCTATCGAAAATTCCATAGAAAGCTTATTGCCATTAGCAAAAAAGAATGTAGCAGTAGGTACATATCCAAGGCTGACAATAAGCATGTGGGATATTATCAGAAACAGTAATCGTGTGAAACGGGAAAACTTGTTCAACGAATTAACAGCAACAAATTTCAATGTATTTTTTAGCGATGTAGCAGAAAATATAATATCTACACTACAAACACTAGTTAATGGCTACACTTCTCTTCCACAGCTTGGCGCGATGAGGGGCGACATTTTCAGATTTGAACAGATGACGTTCATCAATGTTCGCGACATAGGCATCGCCAGCCAGTGGGCCAAGGAGGGTAGGATAAAAAAAATAGAAATGAGGGTTGAGAAAATAGCCCCCCAAGGAAAAAGACAGACCAAATTATTTAAAACATAATTTTCGTGGGTTCTTAGCGAATTGGTCAACCAGATTATTAATAAAACCCTCAAAGTTCTCAAAAATATGCTTCCTATGCACACTCATCATGGCAAGACCATTGAGATGACATTTTGCCATAGTGCTTCTAAGCCAGGTTTTTCTTCTCCTCAAGCTGCTATAAGATCGTTCAACAGTATATGTCATGCAGGGTAAAGTGACCAAAATTATAAGGGCTTTTCTCGTTTCAGAGAAAATATGTCGGCCTCTTTTATGACATCCACAACACTTAGTTCTTTTGAGTTAGGTTTATCTTGCCATAGTTCGATTTCGTTGTTGATATTCGATAAATTGTAAAATTGGGAAAAGACTTCACTAGTTTCTACGAGGTCTTCAAGGGATATGTCTAACATTTGAGCCGCGTGTAATTTAGATAAGGGTGTTTTCTTCAGAAAAGCGAACTTCAAGAGAATTAATAATCGAGTCTAAGTATGGTATTATTAAAAACCTCCGCCACAATTCTGATGGGCTTGCTGCTAGGTGGTTGTTCCGATGTTGTTGTCTTCCAACAATACGGGATACTGACTTCATGTCTTCTCCCAGTCCAAGTTTTTCTGCAACGATAGTAGCGTAATAATTTTATCTGGTTTTTTATCAATTACAAAATACGACTAATGTTCTGGGATACATCATAGCCGAGTATTTGGTTATCAAAATAAGGCTGAGAATAAACGAAACTCTAGAAGCTGCTGCATAGAGCTGATAAGCAGTTTTTCTAGTCGCACTATTTCCTTCCCGTGACAAGGTTTCCAAGGCCTCCATTATAATAGGAAAATTCTCTTTAAAAACTCTAATACTTTTCTGTTTCTTGCTCCACCTTGTTTCGCAAAGCCTGGAAATATTTGGTATCAATTTGCGCCTCAAAACTGCTTCTTGAAAAAATGTAATAATATTTTTGATGGTATCTTAGGAATTCCGGATTTCAGACAGACTATTTAGATCATTAATGACTAGATTTAATTTGTGTGACGAGAAATGAAAGAACAAAACTTTTTTATGTTTTCTGCATAGGATTGCTTGCACACCACCTTCTTTCCCGAACATCGTCGAACAAAATCCTAAACCAACACATTTGTCCGGATCAAGATCTTCTTCTGCCAAAAACTCATCTATTGCTTTTGCAATACATTTCACATCCAAAGCATCAATTTCAATAGTCAATAGTCGCAATTTTTATAACTTGAACACTAAGCTTGAAGTTGTGCGTTGAAGACAGTGTATTTCCTGATTGTTTAAAAGTAACGAACTACAGCTCTATATCTATAGTACCTACATATATTTGGAAAAGTATTCGAGGTAATATTAAAATAACAAATTTATGAACATCTGGAACATAATCAGTTGTTGGCCAATTTGGATTTAGACAAAATAAATCAACCACATTAGCTATTAACGATCTCGTAGAGTATGTTCAATTTTGTTTTGAGAATAAACTTTATGGCCAAGCACAATTCTATGATCTGACGAAAGCGTTTGATTGTGTTAATATTGATTCAGTTAACTTCCTTCGCTCTTACTTATATAACCGTCAATAATCTGTGTCAATTTTCATAGTAATGTCCATAACTTCCTGCATGTTACGTGTTTTTGAACATAGAACTTGCTGATTACTGATGCAATGGAATGAGACAAATGATGGAAAGTCAGCATTAGCACGACACAAAGCAACAAGCGCTTTTTGATTGCCAGTCATGGCTGGAGCTCCATCTGTCGTAATGCATACAAGTTCGTAAAAAACTTATATAAAACTTATAAAAGCATCATATACATCTTTACCACGAGTTTTCTTCTTCAAAGGAATCATTGTCAAAAATTTTTCTTTCGTAGGCATATCAGAAAATACCATACGAATAAAAATACACAACTGAATGGTATCTGCCACATCAGTCGACTCCTCAAACTGCAAAGAAAAATATACACAGTCCATGATATCAGTTTTTAGTTTATTTTCCGAATCCTTACTCATGATTTAGACATGATGATTTAGACACTCATGTTTTGTGAGAACATAAGAACTAAAAAGATTCCAATATGTTAGAATAACTCGATTTTTTGTTATCCAATACAACGATTATTAACCATATTCTTAAAGATAAAGAATTTAGCTTTAATTTGATGTATAAATCATTTCTTAATCTTAAAAAATAACATCACAAAGATTATTTTGATCATTTTATTGAAACATAATCTTTAAAAGTTCATAACTTCGATTTCTGATTACGACAAAAGGATAAAATAGCAATCATTTCAAAGCTTAATTAACATACAATATTATAACTTTAATTGATAATAATTGATACATTTAAGTTAATCAATCAAATCTTTTAAAATATTTCAGCCGAAATTACTGGTATAGAATATGATGGGCGTTCTCAATTAATTCTTTCAATTATTCCTCCGCAATCGATTTGTGATGAAGCTGCAAGCATCAAACTAAAAAGTTATATCGATGATGACACCACTATTCATGGTAATATTTACATCGAGGATACAGTGGGAATTATTTCATTATCGGAACCGTTAAGTTGCGAATCTGATGTTAAAGTAACGACAGAAACTTACGATGTAAATGATTTGATCGTTGTTGAATCACATATGAAAAAACTACTTCGATGTAAGAGTTGTTTGAATTTACAATTACGTTAAATTAATTTTGCATTTTTGTTTTGGGTTTCTTCGATATCTTTTCGACATTTTGATAAAGGTGATCCTTGCAAAGGTAAGAAATCAAAATATTAATTATTATAAAATATTTTGTGATGTCTCATATTGCAGCTTCAATTAACGGCGTGGCTTATGATGGTAACTTGAACATTTTCGTTTCAATTACCTCATCAGGATCGGATTGTTTAGCAACAACTTTAAGAGTAAAATGTAAAATTGATGGTGAAATTATTTATCGTGATACAATCGTAGATAACACCGCAGGAATAATTTCTTTATCTGAAAAGTTATTATGTGAGAACAACGTTGTGGTGTCAATTGTAGTCTATGGTAAAAATGATTTAGAACTTTGGGAATCAAATGCAATAAAAGTACGAATTTTTGATTGTTAATGTTAAAAATTAATAAATTCTCTAAGATATTTAACGAATTAATTAACTAATGTGTGTTATATATCATTTTTTACATCTTCAACCAGGTATAAAGATTTCTTCATTTTCATATAACCTTTCATAAATAACACTTTAAAATTTCCTTTAAAGTTTACATGTCATTTTATCATTTTTACATTATACTAGAAGCAAGCTAAACTTCTCGATTTTTTTGTAAATAATTTTCATAATGTAACCTATTATATTCTATATCGTTTTAAAGAGGAATCCTTCAGCTTTAATGAGGTATAAAAATTATTCTTTCAGTTTCATAAATAATCCTTCCAAGAAATTTTAACGTTTAGATGTCAAATCATCGTTTTTACGTTACGCTAAATAACACACTTAACTTCTCGATTTTTTACAAATAATTTTCATAATCTAACCTAATATGTGTCATATACCGTTTTAAACAAGAATCCTTTATCTTCAATTTGATACAAAGCTCATTTCTTCATTTTCATAAATAACCCTTCCAGGATTATCGTTTTCATTATGCTAGTCGGCAAGCTTAATTTCTTAATTTTTTGTAAATAATTTTCATAATCTAACCTATTATATGTTACATATCGTTTTAAAGAGGAATCCTTCATCTTCAATCTGGTATGAATATCATTGTTACATTTTCATAAATAACCCTTCAAGGAAACTTTAAAGTTCAGATGTTATATATCCGTTTTTACATTACGCTAAATAACAAGCTAAATTTCTCGATTTTTTTGTAAATAATTTTTATGATCTAACCTAATAAGTGTTATATACCGTTTTAAAGAGGAACCCTTCATCTTCAATCTGGTATAAAGGTCATTTCTTCAGTTTCATAAATAACCGTTCCAGGAAACTTTAAAGTTTAGATGTCACTTCCTAGTTTGTGTATTATTAGAAAAAACAAGATTATCTTCTCGATTTTTTTGTAAATAATTTTTATAATCTAACCTAATAAGTGTTATATACCGTTTTAAAGAGGAATCCTTCATCTTCCATCTGGTATAAAGGCCATTTCTTCAGTTTCATAAATAACCCTTCCACGAAATTTTAAAGTTCAGTTGTCAAATTATCGTTTTCATTATGCTAATTAGCAAGCTTAATTTCTTAATCTTTTTGTAAATAATTTTCATAATCTAACCTATTATGTGTTATATATCGTTTTAAAGAGGAATCCTTCATCTTCAATCTGGTATGAATGTCATTGTTACATTTTCATAAATAACCCTTCAAGAAAACTTTAAAGTTCAAATGTTATATATTCGTTTTTACATTACGCTAAATAACAAGCTTAACTTCTCGATTTTTTTGTAAATAATTTTTATAATCTAACCTAATATGTGTTATATACCGTTTTAAAGAGCAATCCTTCATCTTCAATCTGGTATAAAGGTCATTTCTTCAGTTTCATAAATAACCCTTCCAGGAAATTTTAAAGTTTAAATGTCAATTTATCGTTTTTACATTATGCTAAATAACAATCTTAACTTCCCAATTCTTTTGTAAATAATTCTTATAATCTAACCTATTATGTGTTATATATCGTTTTAAAGAGGAATCCTTCATCTTCAATTTGGTATAAAGATCATTTCTTCAGTTTCATAAATAACCCTTCCAGGAGTTTTTAAAGTTTAGATGTCAAATTATCGTTTTCATTATGCTAAATAACAATCTTAACTTCCCAATTCTTTTGTAAATAATTCTTATAATCTAACCTAATATGTGTTATATATCGTTTTAAAGAGGAATCTTTCGTCTTGAATCAAGTATAAAGATCATTTCTTAATTTTCATAAGTAACCCTTCCAGGAAATTTTAAAGTTTACATGTCACATTATCGTTTTTATATCATGTGCAAAAACAAGCTTAATTTATCGATTTTTTTGTAAATAATTTTCATAATCTAACCTATTATATGTTATATATCGTTTTAGAGAGGAATCCTTCATCTTCAATCTGGTATAAAGGTCATTTCTTCAGTTTCATAAATAACCCTTCCAGGAAATTTTAAAGTTTAGATGTCAATTTATCGTTTTTACGTAATGCTAAATAACAATCTTAAACTCCCGATTTTTTTATAAATAATTCTTATAATCTAACCTAATATGTCTTATATATCTTTTTAAAGAGGAATCCTTTATCTTCAATCTGGTATAATGCTTATTTCTTCATTTTCGTAAATAACCCTTCCAGGAAATTTTAAAATTTAGATGTCACTTTCTAGTTTTTATATTATGCGAAAAAACAAGGTTAACTTTTTCGATTTTTTTGTAAATAATTTTTATAATCTAACCTAATATGTGCTATATATCGTTTTAAAGAGGAATCCTTCATCTTCAATCTGGTATAAAGGTCATTTCTTCAGTTTCATAAATAACCGTTCCAGGAAACTTTAAAGTTTAGATGTCACTTTCTAGTTTGTNTATGTGAGAACAACGTTGTGGTGTCAATTGTAGTCTATGGTAAAAATGATTTAGAACTTTGGGAATCAAATGCAATAAAAGTACGAATTTTTGATTGTTAATGTTAAAAATTAATAAATTTTCTAAGATATTTAACGAATTAATTAACTAATGTGTTTTATATATCATTTTATTGAGGAATCTTTCATCTTCAATCTGGTATAAAGATTTCTTCATTTCCATAAATAATCCTTCCAGGAAATTTTAAATTTACATGTCATTTTATCATTTTTAAATTATACTAGACGCAAGCTAAACTTCTCCATTTTTTGGTAAATAATTTTCATAATCTAACCTATTATGTGTTATATATCGTTGTAAAGAGAAATCCTTCAGCTTTAATCTGATATAAAAATCATTCCTTCAGTTTCATAAATAACCCTTTGTTCAATAAACAGCAATTGTTGAGCGAAACGAAAGTTTATTTTAATAAACAAAGCACAAACTTCTTCAGCAAATACAATCGATAAAACCGGTAACAACGTTTAACAGCTTTTTTACTTTTCTACCAACTACTGCCAACCATCCAACACCAAAATAACTATATTGATAAAACTCCCCAACTTAACAACACACCCCTCAATAAAATTATTTGATGTTTTTACACTAATACCATCTCTGAACTTTTCAAATTTAATTCTGCTTAATGGTTTAGTGAACATATCTGCTATCTGCTTGTCAGTCTATATATGCACTATTTTAATAATATTATCTATATTCTCTTTCACAAACTAAACTTTACATCTACATGTTTGAGTGTTTTAGTATTTTCAGGATTATCTATTCGCAATGCAAATAGCTGACCTATTGTCTTCATACAATACTATCGGTTCATCACATATTGGTAAATTGAAGTCTATAATAAGTTTTCGTAACCAACAGGCCTCTGCCACGGCTAAACTCAATGCTACATACTCAGACTCTGTTGATGAGATTGATACATTTTGTTGTTATTACGATCAACAGTATCTCCCCCCCAATCCGAATCTGCATAACCGCACATCACATAATCAACACCAAAGCAAAATCTAAACTTCCTTTAACATATCTCAAAATTCTCTTCAATGATTTATACAAATTCACATTTGCTTTATCCTGAAAACGACTTAACAAACTAACACTTTGGCACAAATCGGGTCTCGTTCCTAATGTTGCATACATTAAACTTCCGATTATTTTTCTACAAATATTTTGCATTTTTGAAACATCTTTATCACCTTTTAAGTTTTCATAGTTAACATTATTTTCTAACGGTGTATCTACAGATTTACATTCTTCCATTTTAAATCTTTTTAATACAATTTTTAAGTAATTTCTCTGACTCAGTTCGATAACATCATCATTCGCATTGTGCCAAACCTTTATCCCTAAATATTTCATACAAAAATTTTTATTCAAAATTTGTTTTATCGATTCCATATCACTCTTATTACTTCCTACGATCAGTACATCGTCCACATATAATAATACATAAAGTTTGTCATTATTATTACATCTACTATATAAACAAAAAACAGCTTGTGATCGTATAAACTTATAATTATGCATTAAAAAATCAAACTTTACGTTCCAACACTTTCTTAAAGCATAAATTGATTTATTTAATTTACATACAAAATCACTAGTTGTATACCTCTTCTTCTAAATCTCCATACAAAAATGCACTTCTCACGTCCATTTGTTGTACAGGTACTTTTTGACTAATTACTAACAAAATACGAAAAGTTGTAGGGTAAAACGCCAGTAATTGAGCGTTGGTCAGTGTTTGACCGTTTTTGTAAAAAAATGTAAAAAATAAGGATCCAAGGAATAGAATATCTAAAAAAATATAAATATATCCATAAACAGCCACCAGTCTCCTCTCCACCCCCTAGTACACAAAAAGTCCACGGCCATACCGTTCTTGAGTTTTTGTTGTTTAATTTCGCGCTAACTGCCGGCCTATTCACATCGTGTTAAAAAGCGGTTTGGGCGAATTTCTAAACATAAAAATTTGTTTAGAAATTCGCCCAAACAGGGTAGTACTATTCAGCCGTTTTTACATGTATGATGTTTTTTTTTGTTTGTCAGTGATCTAATAATGTTTTCTATTGGTTATATTAAAAAAATACCGCTTTAATTAATTATTTGTTGAAATAAAGCCGGTCAATGACTGGTAGTTCTAAANGTAAATAATTTTCATAATCTAACCTATTATATGTTATATATCGTTTTAGAGAGGAATCCTTCATCTTCAATCTGGTATAAAGGTCATTTCTTCAGTTTCATAAATAACCCTTCCAGGAAATTTTAAAGTTTAGATGTCAATTTATCGTTTTTACGTTATGCTAAATAACAATTTTAACTTTCCGATTTTTTTATAAATAATTCTTATAATCTAATCTAATATGTGTTATATATCGTTTTAAAGGGGAATCCTTCCTCTTCAATCTGGTATAAAGCTCATTTCTGCATTTTTATAAATAACCTTTCCAGGAAATTTTAAAGTTTAGATGTCGCTTTCTAGTTTTTATATTATGCGATAAAATATGCTAAATGGTTTAGTGAACATATCTGCTATCTGCTCGTCAGTCTATATATGCACTATTTTAATAATACTCCATTATCTATTTTCTCTTTCACAAAGCAAAACTTTACATCTACATGTTTGAGTCTTTTAGTATTTTCAGGATTATTCGCAATGCAAATAGCTTCCATATCACTCTTATTAGTTCCTACGATCAGTACATCGTCCACATATAATAATACATAAAGTTTGTCATTATTATTACATCTACTATACAGGGTGTCCGCTGAGGTATCCGAGAAACTTCGTATATGAATTCTATGATCAATCTTAAGCATAAATGATTCTAATCACTTTTCTCGAATTCCAAACGGTTGTTGAGATATCGAGATTTGAAGTTACCAGATCGTATGGATAGATACTAAACAGTAAATAACATGTTGCTAGGTAATTGAATAATTAGCCATTTAATTGATATTAGAATAAAATTGTTGACATTCAGGTCATTAATTGTCATCATTGTTATCAATTGTGCTAAAATCATGCCTGCAACTTATCCACATGAAGAGTATGCGGACATGGTTTTCGTGTATGGATATTGCAACGGTAGTACCACCGCCTCAGTTAGGGAATATCAACGACGATACCCAAACCGCCGTCTTCCAGACAACGAAACCTTCGGTAGAGTCTTCACAACTCTTCGATTAAGAGGTGCGTTCGCTAAATCGACTTGTGACAGAGAAATTAGGCGAAAAAACAATGCTGCAGAAGTGCTTGAGGCTGTTGAAAATGATGATGGTACTAGTACGAGAAGAATTTCTGTACTTACTGGACAAGCTAGGACGGCTTTGCATGACACTTTGCGGGAAAACGCATCCCTATCATTACTAACCAGTACAACAACTTCTTTCCGAGGATCTTCCCCAAAGAGTTCGCCTTTGTGAATGGTGAAATTTGAACAGCGAAATATACCTGGTTTTTTTGGAGAACGATCTACCTCTATTACTTGAAGACATTCCTATTCAAATTAGAAGAACAATGTTCTTTTTACATGATGGTGCTCCCGCCCATTATGCAAGAATTGTCACGAATTTCCTCAATGAACAGTATCCAAATCGATGGATAGGTCGTGGTGGTCCCATTGCTTGGCCACCGCGATCTGCGGATCTCACCCCACTAGATTTTTTCATGTGGGGACATGTGATGACACTTAGGTATTCAACGGGAAAGCCTAATAATAGAGACCAACTTATACAAAACATTCATGCAGAGTTTCGAGAGGTAAAAAACAATATGGAGAACTACAACTGGAAACGAGAGCTCCGACAAAGGATTGAATTATGCATTGCGCAAGGCGGTGGTCACATTGAGCAGCTTTAATAATTGCAGTGTCATTAAGCTTTTATTAAAATAAACCGCAATTTTTCCATAGCCAACCTAGAAATGTGTTGTACTGTTCAGCATCCTATTCATACAATCTGTCAACTTCAAACCTCGATGTCTCAACAACCGTTTGGAATTCGAGAAAAGTGAATAGAATCATTTGTGCTTAAAATTAATTATAAAATTCATATACAAAGTTTTTCGGATACCTCAGCGGACACCTGTATAAACAAAAAAACAGTTTGTGATCGTATAAACTTATAATTACGCATTAAAGAATCCAACATTTCGTTCCAACACTTGTGTGACTTTCTTAAACCATAAATTGAGTTATTTAATATACATACAAAATCACTAGTTTTCTTTTTCTTTCTTGGCAAAGACATGTATACCTCTTCTTTTAAAGAGTCTCCATGCAAAAATGCACTTCTCACGTCCAGTTGTTGTACAGCTACTTTGTGTTTTTGACTAATTACTAACAAAACACGAAAAGTTGTCAACTTGGCCACTGGCGCATCGTACGCTTCTTGACCATTCTGTTGAAAACCCCGAGCCACCAACTCGCTTTAAAGTTATTATCATTTTTCCTTTTGAACACCCACCTGCTTTCAATTACTTTTTTGTCTTTTGTCTTTTTTAATTTATTGGTTCCTCTGTCTCTGTATAAAAACTCATTTCATAATCATTCATCCAATTTGGTCTTCTTCTTTCTCTTCTGGTATCTCCAGATATTGATCAACTATAGTTTCATTCTTAGTTTTGTTTTAGTTCTTCAGATTGCCTCTTTGGTACGACAACCACATCTCTATGGATTTCCACTTTATTTCTTGTATGAAAGTACACTCTATAACTTTTAACAACATTTCCATAACCAACAAAGATTCCCTCTTCAGTTTTTGGATCCAATTGATCCATATTCCTTTGGCAATTTAATATCCTATTTTCTATCTAACCATGTTTCGTATGGTGTTTCATCTTTCTTTGAACTATTGCTTTTATCTAAATCTATATAATAATTTTATCTATATCTTTTATCTAAATTTTTGCTGTGCAATAGAGTTCTTGCTGCTTCCACTATAGTTCGCATTTCGCGTTCCGCTCGACCATTTTGCTGTGGCGAATACGTACATGTTCTTTCATGTATGATTCCTTCTCTTTCTAATAAATTCTTTAATCCACTGTTCATAAATTGCAACCCATTATCCATTCTTAATCGTTTAACTTTATTTCCGGTTTGGGTTTGTACTAAATTAAAAAATATGTCTATATTATTCATAGCTTCTGATTTAGTTTTCAGAAAGTATACAGTTCTGTAATTTGAAAAATCATCTTTCAACAATAAAAAATGTTTTGCTTCTCCCAATGATGACACTTCCATTGGTCCCTCTAAATCTCCATGTATTAATTCACCTGTTCTTTTAGCTCGTGAATTAGTTATCGGGAAAGTTAACTTGTGTTGTTTTCCGGTTAGACATTCTTTGCAGAAAGGATCATTGACCTCCTTTGTAAGGTGTTTAATTTCTTTTTAAAGCCTTTCTAACCTGTTCAAAATGAATATGGGCCATTTTGCAATGCCAANTACTGTTTTCCTTTTTAATTTTTAAAAAATATTACTTCATGATGTTATATTTTATATGTAGGGTAAGTAACTTTAAATGAATCAGATGTGTATTTGATCATATTTTGATCATTTTATGTAAAGGCAGAGGGATCTACAAGAAAAATAATATGGCTCGGTCAAATACTGACATTAAAAAATCCTTAACAGATCAAACGCTGTTGCGTTTAGCCTACACCTGCTTTCTATTACTTTTTTGTCTTTTGGCCATGGTACTAGTGTCCATGTATTATTTTCTGCCAACACTTTCAGTTCCTTTTCCATTGCCTCTTTTCATTATTCACTATTCTCATCGTTTACTGCTTCATCATAATTTATTGGTTCCTCTGTCTCTGTATAAAAACTCATTTCATAATCATTCATCCAATTTGGTCTCCTTCTTTCTCTTCTGGTATCTCCAGAGATTGATCAACAATAGTTTCATTCTTACAGTTTTGTTTTAGTTCTTCTGATTGCCTCTTTGGTACGACAACCACATCTCTATGGATTTCCACTTTATTTCTTGTAGGAAAGTACACTCTATACTATAACCTTTAACAACATTTCCATAACCAACAAAGATTCCCTCTTCAGTTTTTGGATCTAATTTTCTCCTTTTCTTTTTTGGAACATGTACTGCAACAATTGATCCATATTCCTTTAGCAATTTAATATCATATTTTCTATCTAACCATGTTTCGTATGGTGTTTCATCTTTCTTTGAACTATTGCTTGTATCTAAATCTATATAATAATTTTATCTATATCTTTTATCTAAATTTTTGCTGTGTAATAGAGTTCTTGCTGCTTCCACTATGGTTCGCATTTCGCGTTTCGCTCGACTATTTTGCTGTGGCGAATACGTACATGTTCTTTCATGTATGATTCCTTTTCTTTCTAATAAATTCTTTAATCCACTGTTCATAAATTGCAACCCATTATCCGTTCTTAATCGTTTAACTTTAATTCCGGTTTGGGTTTGTACTAGATTAAAAAATATGTCTATATTATTCATAGCTTCTGATTTAGCTTTCAGAAAGTATACAGTTCTGTAATTTGAAAAATCATCTTTCAACAATAAAAAATATTTTGCTTCTCCCAATGATGACACTTCCATTGGTCCCTCCAAATCTCAATGTATTAATTCACCTGTTTTTTTAGCTCGTGAATTAGTTATCGGGAAAGTTATGTGTTGTTGTTTTCCGGTTAGACATTCTTTACAGAAAGGATCATTGACCTCCTTTGTAAGGTGTTTAATTTCTTTTTAAACCCTTTCTAACCTGTTCAAAATGAATATGGGCCATTTTGCAATGCCAATCTACAAGCCTTTTTGATGTCTTGTGGTTTTAAGTTCGCATAGTTCCTTTTAACATGTCCCTTTCGGTTACAATTGAAGCATCTGATCTCTCTTTTCCAATCTACCTGTTTTCTTTCTTTAGTAAATAACGCGGAAGTAGATAAAGAATCTTTCTTATTTCTATATTCTTCAATCATTAATCTTGACATCAATTCCGGTAATGTTTGTTTTTCCATTGGCGTAGATTCCCAAGCTGATACGCAGTGTTTCAATTCTTCTGGTAGTGACATTAGAACTTTGGTTATAGCCATTTTATTACTTATTTCTTCCCCTTGCTCTTTAAGGCAATTTTGTATTTCTTCGATTTCTGATATAAATTCAGCGATACCTTTTTCTTCTTTATATTTGAGGTTAAAAAACCTTTGTTGTAATAAGTGAACACTGATCTGTGATTTATTCTCATAAATTGTACGAAGCTTTTCCCACATTTCTTATCTTCTATTCCACACACCAATTGTTCTTGTGCTTTTGCGTCCCTTTGTTCCCAATCACCAACTTTTTCCGCCTCCTTTGGCTTCTCTACTTTACTCATTACAAATCGTAAAACTCTTTGGCTTTCAATACAATTTCTATCTGGTAACCTGTTCAACAAACAGCAATTGTCGAGCGAAAGGAAAGTTTATTTTAATAAACAAATCATCTTCAATCTCGTATAACGATCATTTCTTAATTTTCATAAACAACCCTTCCAGGAAATTTTAAAGTTTATGTGTCAAATTATCGTTTTTCATTATGCTAATTGACAAGGTTAATTTCTTGATATTTTTTGTAAATAATTTTCATAATCTAACATATTATGTGTTATATATCGTTTTAAAGAGGAATCCTTCATCTTCAATCTGGTATAAAGGTCATTTCTTAATTTTCATAAACAACCCTTCCAGGAAGTTTTAAAGTTTAGATGTCAAATTATCGTTTTTCATTATGCTAATTGACAAGGTTAATTTCTTGATTTTTTTGTAAATAATTTTCATAATCTAACCTATTATGTGTTATATATCGTTTTAGAGAGGAATCCTTCATCTTCAATCTGGTATAAAGGTCATTACTTAATTTTCATAAATAACCCTTCCAGGATATTATAAAGTTTAGATGTTAATTTATCGTTTTTACGTTATGCTAAATAACAATCTTAACTACCCGATTTTTTTATAAATAATTCTTATAACCAACCTAATATGTGTTATATATCGTTTTAAAGAGGAATCCTTTCTCTTCAATCTGGTATAAAGCTTATTTCTTCATTTTCGTAAATAACCTTTCCAGGAAATTTTAAAGTTTAGATGTCACTTTCTAGTTTTTATATTATGCGAAAAAATATGCTAAATTTCTCGATTATTTTGTAAATAATTTTCATAATCTAACCTATTATGTGTCATATACCGTTTTAAAGAGGAATCCTTCATCTTCAATCTGGTATAAAGGTCATTTCTTCAGTTTCATAAATAACTCTTCCAGGAAATTTTAAAGTTTAGATGTTAATTTATCGTTTTTACGTTATGCTAAATAACAATCTTAACTTCCCGATTTTTTTACAAATAATTCTTATAATCTAACCTAATATGTCTTATATATCGTTTTAAAGAGGAATCCTTCATCTTCAATCT